GCCCACTCCTCCTTTTAACAGACGTCCCGAAGGATCTGGCCTCATCGGCGCCCCACCCGCGGTCCCTCACTTTGCACGATCAGCCGCGGTACCCCACCCCAGACCAAACGCGGCCGCGGATAATCACAAAAAAAAAAAAAAAAAGGATGAAAAAATAAAGCATCATGATTAAGAACCCCTAAGCAGGGTGCGGGGCTGTTAGAGCCCCGCTGGTCCCGTGAACGGGGTCCGCGCCTATCAAACCGAGGGGAGGCAGCCCTGCCAGGCCCTCAACTTCCCTCAGTTTTCCTCCATAACGCTCCGCTGGTGCTCTGTAACGCACACTGGCCTCGATCCCCGAACCTCTGTGGCAGTAACCTGACCCCGTAACCTATAGGGCTATGCCCCAACTTGGAACAACTATGAGCGGAATCCAATATAAAGTGGTGCCGCACCGTGCCTAGCCTTGGAAACAACAGCCTAGGCCTTTCCCTTCCTACCGCGGCCGGCGCGCCAGCACCCGGCCCCCGCCCCAGCCTACTTAGACCACGTCGTGGCCGCCCCGCACGCCACCCCGTGCGCCAGTCCTACCGACGGTCGCGCATGCCAACCCAGGAACGAGGTCTTACTTCTCATCCAAGCCATAGCACGGTCCGGGTCGGTGGACTAGACTGGCCGCTCACTCAATCAGAAAAATCACACGCGCGCCTTAAAATTGCCCGCCCACATACCCTCTAACTTAACCAGGGCGGGTCCCGGATGCGATCGTGCCTCGCACGGCTTATTTCGACCAAACTCATTGTTCCCTGTCATCTGCAAAATCCAGGGCGGATACCCTTGTAAGGGTATTCGCGCCGGCACCGCACCCATCAGCGTGGCCACGCATGTTCAGGACTTGACACGTGGACGTATGTGCCGTCGTGTTCAACTACCATCATCGTGCCCGTCGTTAGTTTTTTTTCAGTGCCTCTATTTCGTTCGTCTTATGCGTTGGCATGTTTCTTTCGCGAACTTACCTCGGGGTGCGTTCGCGGATCTCAATCCATTGGGGACCACTCGCCTCGATCAGATGGCACACTCACACGTCCACGTGTCAGTTCCTGAACAAGTGTGTGCACGCTGATGGATAAGAGGCTCTATGCGGCAACAGAATGTTATCGAATAGAGCCCCGCACCCATCAGCGTGGCCACGCATGTTCAGGACTTGACACGTGGACGCGTGAGTGTGCCATATGATCGGGGCAAGATGAAGGAGTTTCAGGAGCAAGAATGCATGCGTTTCATTGGCGACCACTCGCCCCGATCAGATGGCACACTCAGACGTCCACGTGTCACGTCCTGAACAAGCCTGGCCACGCTGATGGATGCAGGGCTCTATGCGACAACGGAATGTTGTCAAATAGAGCCCCGCATCCATTAGCGTGGCCACACATGTTCAGGAGTTGACACGTGGACGTGTGAGTGTGCCATCTGATCGGGGCGAGTGGTGACCAACGAAACGGGACCCGCGAATGCAGCCCGAGAATGTTGTGACTCGCGCTTCGAGATTGTGTCGTCACTTCAGATGTTTTCTCTCTTCTAGATTGTACATGGACTTTCTTCTCGCTGAATTATTTTTTATTGCGCTCGGTTTGTTTATTCGTTTTTCCGCGTAAGTCGCGTCGTGCAGTTCGCTCGGCGTTCGGTTTTGTATTCGTAAATTGTCCTATACATTCGTCAATTTTTTCACATTTGTCGTCACTCTTCCTCTCGCCGACACGCACACGACCGTTCGCGGTGCATCCTGTGCCATGACACGATCAAGAACGCTCGTCGTCTTCATGCAAAGCGCCATTTCATGTTCGACAAACGACGCGCAACAGGAAGATAATTATACATTTTTTCTTATATTTCTTCTGTGCGGTTTTTATATAGGTCACATTGCGAATTCCAAAAAAGACAACACCATCCGCAGGATCTGCACATGGAGAGACACAGAGATAAAGACAGGCTCTCTCGCTGCGCCCCCTCTCCTTATCGACGTCTCTATGGATCTTAGTCTCCCTTCCGTGTCTATGCGGGTTTTCTGCTTTTCTCCAACCTTTGTGTTTCACAGACAGTCGCTCAACCGATCTTAGGTTGGTCCCCCCTGAGTGCAATCACAGATCAGTAATCCGAAGACTGCTAGGACAGATTCGAAGACACAGACAGTCGCCTAATCGATTCTAGGTTGTTTCCCCTTGAGCGCAATCACAGATCAGCAATCCGAATCTTCGGATTACTGATCTGTGATCGCACTCAAGGGCGAACGTGAATTCAAATCTTTAAACCCTATCAAACCTCACGTCAGCCAATCGTCGCGAGGAACCCTTCCGCTGACGTGGACACAGGACAGGACACAGAGCGATCAGATGCTCATAGGCTATTGTCGACGACGACAAGTCTGACCAACGAGGAGGACGACAACCCACCCTGTCCATACCATCCTCTGGTGGCGCAACGACTAACGTGTTCGAGCCACCCTTGTTAATTTCAGTTGCATCCGAGCCACAACCCACTAAAACTCACGAGGCGACCACAAACCGAGGCAGCTCAGCGAAGTTCAGATTAATCCGAACCACAACAAGTTCGGATTTATCACATGCTTAGACGACATGTACGACGTCGCACGTTTTGATAAACTTGAACGACGAAATCACACGCTGTCAACAGACCGTGCCGCCCCATCCACCGGTCCCCGTCTCGGATTAATCTGAACCACACCTCCAACAAGATAGGGTCTACCCTATGCTCACAGGTCATTGACGAAAACACGCCATGCCGATGGCCTCCTCTTGTGGTCGGCCGTTTCTGGATCGCATTGTGCTAATTCGGATGCATCCGAGTGACAACCCTCACCATATCAGAAGGACGAGAAAACTCGAGTCCGGATTAATCCGGCCCACACGGATGTAGTCCACACCACTTTGGGGCTCGATTGCATCCTAAGCACACCGAGAAACTTCACAATCCGCTTGTCGACTTCAGATGATTCCATTTCTCAATGGGGTGCACAGCTTCGTCTGCTCTACCAGCGTTCCAGGGCCTTCTGGCGCGGTCTTGCTTCTCCCGATGCAGGTACCTATTACTGGCAACGACACCCGACGTCGGTCTTTCGACTGTGCCTAGTTCGGATGTATCCCAACTACCCCGGTGTCTTCGTCTTCAACCATTCGTTCTACGAAGGGCAGTCGGATGACGAGGGTTAATGATGCCTCAGATTCACCCAACTAAAACGAGTCGAGAAGGTGACGCTCGGGTGGAAGAAAGACGAGCTCGAAACTTGTGCTGCGACTACTGCAAACGTGTCTGTTGTTTGGATTGGGCGAGCCACAACCAACTAAAACTCACGAGGACGACGACACCCCCTATAATGACGCACAGATTATAATGACACACTACGACAATCACGGGGAGGTCCGGTGTGTGGTGGGGCGACAACAAACCGCAGCGCCTCGACGAAGTTCGGATTAATCCGAACCACACCGATGGCTTGTTCGGATTCACCACATGCGCATAGGGTATTGACAACGTCGCACGGTCTGATAAACTTAAGCGACGAAAGCATACGGTGTTGGCACAGCCTCTCGTGGTCACACGTATCGGGACAGCCCCTGTCGAAATTGGATAAATCCGAGCCACACCCGTTTTAAATAGTCAAGGACGAAGACACACCGTGCAAAGTTCGGGTGGACCCAAGGACAGCAGGGGAATAACGGAAGCTTGGATGGCTGGATGGGCGTCAACAGACCGTGGGGTCCATCCACCGGCCCTCGTCTCGGATTAATCCGAGCCACATTGGCGAAGTTCGGGTTCAACCGAACCAAACCTCCGGCAAGATAAGATTGACCCAATGCTCCAAGGTCGTTGACAAAAACACGTACCGTCGATGGCGTCCTCTTGTGGACGACCGTCTCTGGACCACGCTGTTCGAAATCGGATGCATCCGAGTCACAACCGTTATCGACTCAGAAGGACGAGAAAACTCGAGTTCGAATTGGTCCGGGCCACACGGGCGTAATCCACACCACTTTGAAGCTCGGATGCATCCGAACTACACCGGCGAACTTTACAATCCGCTTGTCGACTTCGGATGAAACCGTATCACCATGCGGTGAACATCTTCGTCTGCTATATCAACGTTCTAGGGCCTTCTAGCGAGGTCTTGCTTTTCTGGGTGCAGGTGCCTATGACTGGCAACCATATGCGACGTCGGTCTTTCGACTGCGCCTACTTTCGGATATATCCAAACTATCCCGCAGTCTTCATTTTTGACCATTCGTTCTCTTAAGGGCAGTGTGACGAGGATGGCTCATGATGCCTCGGATTCATCCGAAACGTGCAGTTGCCCTCCTTTTCGAGCAGGCGTGTGGAACACTGTCGTCTAACTACGACTGAACTTCGTTCTTTTGAGGTCCGGGTGATCGATAACAGAATACGTGCTGTTGGTCGAGGTTGATGTTAGGACGTGCTAAGTGTTCTGATTGCATGTGCCTTCATTTCCTCTGCGTGTTTCAGGGAATGGCTACACATGGACGAAGCCGCTCCGCTGGTGGTTCTGCCCCGCATGGAGAGGAGCGTTGAGGGACGATGTCGTCACCGGCAAGGGAAACGAGTCGGGGAGGTGGCGGTGGGGAGGAAGAATGACGGGCTCAAAACTTGTGGTGCGACTACAGCAAACGTGTCTGGTATTTGAACGGGGCGAGCCAGGACGGCTCCTACCCGTTGAAACCACAGTGCGGGCCGCTCTTGTTCGTCGTCGTTCACGCCGATAGGACGCGTCTCGCAGGTTCCATCGTCCAGTGGGTCGACGAAGGCGAATACAATTTCAAGTTTACATTGAGGAAGCATTACAGAAGTGATGGTTCCGTCGACCACATCGCAAAACGATGCGAGGTTGTCGGGAGGATGTTCGGCGGGTACGGTCGGCGTGCGATGTCTTTGCCGTCCTTTATACCACTAACGTCGGGGCACGACGAGGCCGTTCACGTGACAGACTTCCTCGAGGTTTGGGCGAGATCAGGTATCTCCGTCAGTGCCGTGGACGTCGGACCTGGGACATCGACCAGTGGTCTTGTTAGGTTCGCGAGAGGAGAGTGCTCTGAAAGGAGGATGGGAGGTTAGGGTGGCCTGCCAGCTACCCCTCTTGATCAAGAGGTGGGCATGTCAGACGACTCGGAGGACGACCATCTGCGTGCTCCTTTGAAACTGGGCTTGCAGGGATCTCGACGCCAAGGTTTGCTTGGGGAGTCGACGCCTCGTGGAGGCGGTGATGGCGAACGGTTGCAACAGGGCTCAGAATCGACGACTCCTCGTTGTCTAGTCGAAAGGATCGGTGCATTCGTTCATGGCATGCAGGTGGCCGAGGTTTCGCCTGGCGATCGTGCAGGTGCTTCGCAGGTTCGAGAGGTCCGTGGGTCACATGAGACGACTTGTTGGGCCCGACTTGCGCCTGCGCAACTGCAGATGGAGTTGAGCCAGGAACAAGAAGCAAGTGAGAACGTCGCCGGTGAGGAGGAGGTGTCCGAGCAGGGGCAGTTCTGTGAGAGATCGCCTGAAAAGACTCAGTCGGGAGGCAAGCGCAACTTGCCAGATGAGGAAGAGCGAGAGGGAGTAGGTGCTCTGAAAAGGCAGAGAAAGGAAGGAGGGAGTGCTCAGACGCCCACAACACGAGAGGGCGGTTCCGTTGAGAAGACGAAAAAGGTTGGAGGTGGGGATGAAACGCCAAAAGACTCGTCGACGGTTAAAATCATTGAGGGGGAAGAAAGCTGATGAGGGCGACAGCGGGGAGGGGGATGACGACGTGGAGATTAACCTCAACGCCTTTAACCTCGACAATGCGTTTTTTCCTCGAGATGAAGACAGGGGTGCAGAGGGACGTCGTGTTGCACATCCATCCCGAAAGAATATTGGCTATTACAGACTGGGAAGACGCGTACAACCACCGATCCTTGGACGAGTTCCTCGTTGACACCATCGCGTCGGCTATGATCGACTGCTATGAACGTAAAGACATGAGATACACGAAGCCCATTTTCGTTCTCGCTCCGATCGTCGCGCCTCCAGAGAGGGGCGAGCCTGCTGTGCGCGTGCTGCCTGGTGACTTCGACAGCTCACAGCCCGAGAAATACTGGTATTATCCTGTGTGTGGACATCATAACGCGAGGGCGGCGATGAAGGTGAAAGACCATCCCGTGTTTGAGTACTACAACTTCTGTAAATGGTCATTCATACCGATCTACTTCCCTCACGACGAGTTCGACGACTACGCCCATGTCAGCTGCGAAGACAACATGAAAGACAAGAAGAATCCACCGCGCTTGCAGGTTTTTTCTATGCGGGACATTCACAATATCTGAAAAATAAAGGGCAAACCACGTGTAATGCTCGGCAATGCATCGAAGAAAAAGGAGGAGGTGCGAAAGTGGGCGCAGTTCATGGCGTTGGCTATGGAGAAGACACCGTACACGCCTTTGTGGAACCTGTCAACGGAAGAAAAGAAAAGAAAGGAATGGGTTGAGAAACTTCGATACTACCTCCCGCTGGCCATGGCAGATGACTCCGTCTTCGCTTTGGGGGAGAAGTTCTATGACGAGTGGTCGAAAGGGAAACTCCTTGCTTCCGACGGCCGACGTTGGACTGAAAAAACGCCCACCCATGAGGAGGTGGCCAAGCCAGGACTCTCCACTGTGACTGAAGAAACACGTCTGGTACATGAAGGTGGACGACCCGTCGTTGAAGAAGGGCAAGGGGAAGCCAAGGAAAGGCGCGGAGGAGAAAACTTACTACGTCCAAGTTCCTGAGTCGGATGTCCACTGCTGGAAGGAATTGGTGGACTTGACGGACCGCGAGAAGAAAAGGTTGTTGAACGGCGTCTTGAACCTTAACGTCGTGTGGGTTCAAACGAGTAGCAAGAAATTGGCCGAGCAGGGGAAGTTCAGTGTGAAGAAGATGGTCGATATAATAAAAATGGACCGGGTTATGCTGAGGCTGTGGCACTACGTCGAGTTCGAGTACGAGGAAATGGATAAGCGGGAGTGGAATGCCAACTCCACGTTCTTCAGGTCAAAGCGGCAACTGTTGGAAGAGTTCAAGGACAAAGGTCTCGATGACAAGCTTTGGAACGAGAGCAGGAAATTTTTCACCGACACCTCGTACATCAACAAGTGCCCTCAGTTTCTCGGGTGTCAACACGACAACAACATCAAGAGAACGGCGGCCCTCGTTAACGACCATCATTTCCCGGCGGAGTGGAAGCGTGTTGTCCTTTCGGTGATCAATGGAGATCGCGCCAAAGGCAAAAAAAACCCTCGAGACGTTGATGAATGCATCAACATTTTGTGAACAGGGACAGGCGCCTTGACGACGCTGGCCCAGTTTAACGTCGACCCATTGAGTGTCATTGATCATAAGGAGGCGCTGGGAAAACTAGGGCATCAGCTACGCTCCGACACTTGCGTGCTCGACTTGTGCGGAACTGTGGACCGTGCGCAATGGGATTCTGGGGCATTCGCGTCTCTGAGTGAGTTGCTGGGCTTCGTTTGTCAGGAGTACTGGACATTGGTGGTATTCGTTCCCTGCCTGTGGAACCTCTCCTTCATATCATCTTTGTCTGTGCTTTGGGCTACCCGATGCTACACGGGGAAGTGGGTTCGGAAGACGGCATCGAAGAAGACGCATTTGTTTGGAAACAGCGTCTAGGAGGAGCCGGATGTGATGCACATCCTTTTCAAAGGCGAGGATCCTCGGCTACTCACTCACCCGGTGTACGAGGGAGTTGTTGCCGAAGACGATGCCGCCGCTCTCCGGAGGAAACAGAAAGTGACACCCACGGATGTGGAGGAGAAGTCTTTCAAGTCCTTGACTTTCGCGGACATCGGGAACCTCAGCCAGAGGGGGGCTCTGTACAAGGACGGCGAGCGGAATCCGAATCAGTTATGCAATCAGCTTCTTTTCTTCTGTGGTGTGGCGGATGCCGTGCTGTTCTTGGGCAAGCCGCACACGCAAGTGGTGTGGAGTCAACTTCATCAGGGAAGACACGTCTTGGCCGTGGATGGGGACACAACGCAGCTTGAATACACCGTGCAGTATGTCACCCATGAAGTGTCGTCCAAGGCCTATGCATGCGATTTCCACCATGTCGTGGTCGAGCCCGTTTATGACCCGAACAAGGACATGTTTTTCAAGTTGACTCCGAAGAAAAGGCGCCAGGTCTACTCCTTCCTTTACGGCGAACAACAAAGGTTGAGATTCGACCAGCAACACATGGTGTAGAAGGAAGTCGCCAATGCAGTCCTCCAGGGCTACCACAGAGCGAGCCGGGCCGGCGCAGTGAGCTTCATTAAGAGGCTGGAATATGTATTTTTTAACGAGGGTGTGGTCGATTCGGACGACTTCACTTTGGATAACTACGGGCTGGCCTTCGGTGAGGACGACGACTTCAATATCGAGACTGAGCAGGAGGAGAGCGTTGAGGACGACCTCTTCGATTTGGACGGGCAATTGGCCATCTTCAACGGCCAAGTTTCTGAGTCGCCGTTAGTATGCAAACCGGGGACACCTCTCGCTACACCCACCTCGGGCGGTCCCACGCCCGTGTCCTCCTCAGCGCCTGTCAAGAGGGGTGGGTTGTCCCGTCTAAGGAGTTCGCCGGGGGAGCCTATTCGTCTCACACCGCAGCCCGAACGTCTTCAACCCAGCCATCCAGTTCCTCCGGACCATCCGCATCTCGCGGCTCCTGCAATTCCCTACCACATGGGTGACAAACACACCTTCTCCACAGGCGAAGATTGGGGCCATGATATCGTGTGGCACCCGGACCATTTCCAGCCAGTCCTTCTCGACGGTGAATGGGCAGTGGCTGTGAGGGACGTAAGTGGAGGGTGGATATATGATGATCGTTGGGACCTCCACACATTCAAATCTCGCGCCTACGATGCGGTATTGGAGAGATTAAGTGAGGTCAATCGACGAAGTAAGAACGACCCTGCTCTGCGCGCATACGGGGAAACGTTGTTCGATTTATTGCAGTCAAATAAATGGCTGGAAGTATCCTCCGCGTTCTACGACCTTCCGTCAAGCCCGTCAATTAAGCAAGTGAGTTGGGGGTTGCCTGCGGTCACCCCGCCGGCAGGAGTTGTGAAGCGCAAGTCTCGCGGAAAGGACGACGAAGGGGATGGTGAAGGCGGCGGACAACGAGGTACCGGAGGTGGAAGTGAACAGCGTTGGACGAAACAACGGTCTCCGGGGCACGCGGGCGGCGGAGAGGGGAGAAAGGGCAGCCGGGAGAAGAAAAAGCCTCGCAGCGGAGAGAAGACAAAGCATCACACAGGAGACGGGCAGGGGTCCGACGTCAACCGCGACGAGGACGGTGGGGTTCTGGCGGTAACAGGCAGCACCTCAATGGAGACGGGGAACGACTTCAGGCCTGGGTGGATTACGTGGCCTGGCAAGCAGGACCCTGTGATTAGCTCCACCAGCACAACACAGTTTACCGATGTTGTTGGCGGGGCAGTTGTAGCAAAGAATGGAACTTGCTTCGCTCAGCTCCAAAAACAGTTGGCGGATTGTCTCTGATCAATCCGAACCTCGGAGACGACATCGTCATCCGGAACTCTGTGCCTTACGGGAAGCGAGACGACAACGTACCACGGATCCGGCAGCGACAAGATCGAACCATGTTCAATTTCGCCTCAAAAGGAAGTTCGTATTAATTCGAACCGGGAAGCCAGTACCGTTGAGAGAGCACAGCGGTCTACGGAACTCGAATGGGTGGTCGGGGGTTTCCAAAAACCCGGGCGGCGAAATTCGGATTCATCTGAACCAGGAGGACGTGTCTGCCATGACAGACGATCGGTGTAAGGATGCCTTACTGATGTGCATGGAAGTCCACAAGGAGCTGCAGGCAGACAATGTCGAGCCGCGCACACTCGGAGCCGAATGCCTGGTGACGGTACGCGCTGAGTTAGCAGTCTTAAGCGACTCTCCGGTGAAAGCGGACACGTCGGCGCCATTGGAAACTGCGGGGGCTCGGATGAATCCGAACCAGGGCCCTGTGAGCATGTCCCTCCCTGATGAAGCTTTGGAGACGACCGTAATTCGGATTCATCCGAGACACACGGACGAAGGACTTCAACTGGCAGGCGTTGAGGGTTGTCGACCTCTGATGACTGGACAAGGACGATTCCGCCAACGATCAGATTTATCCGATACTCAGCGACGTCGGGATGGAGCAACCACTTCAGCCGATAAACGACAACCCCTTGTACTTCGGCCTTCACAACGAGGCGATGGGAGAGGACATTCTGAAGAAGTTCTCTGACGCTGTTCGAGATAGATTTCTCTATTTGAGTGACAATGATAAAGACACAGCGTAAGAGGACAAGAAGTTAAGGGGGGGAGAGGTGTTGTTGGACATTCATGGGACCTTGAGCACAACACAATACGACAAAGTGGCGATGGAGAAAACTTAACCTGTCGATGTTGTGGACGTCGACGCTCTTTGTCCGGAGACGGACATACTAAAATTGCCCTTCGCGGACGTGGAGGATTTCCGCCATCGGGATGGGGATGAATTTATGCTGTCTCCGGTCATCGACGCCGACATCTCAAACCTGTCAAGTTTCCCTGTGGGTTTGGAGCACGTCGTCGCCGCGTCGACACGCACAGGGGCGCCAATCGTACTGGGACTGCCATCGATGGGCTCTGGTGACGTGGAAGCTAAGCCTGGTAAGCACTGACTGTCTCTGCTTGCTTTCCGCTCGTCAGCCCATTTGTGAAGTGTTGTTTGCTTCGTCGATTTCGGGGAGGTGTGTAGGCGGCCGCCAACTGGATTGTGACGATGTGCTTCGTGAGGTGCTGTTTGCTTGGTTGCTCTTGCGAAGTTGTGTTGTTGATCTTCTGTTGAACTCTCTGGGTGGCTATTTCTTGTACAGGTCAACGAACTCGTGGACAAACACACATGTCGCAAGAGCCGCCTGCCCTCGCAAGGTTGTCAGTCCTGGTTGCGGGAGGCACTGGTCGTCGCAATGTCACTGATTCGTTTCCTGGGGACACTAAACCGCGGGGCACTCCCAGAAGGGTAGTCGTGCCCGTATTGGGCCCTCGCGCTAGACTCGTTGCAGAGGCAGCGGGTGTTGCCGAWAAAGACTGCAAGGAATTCCTTCTCGAGGCTTGCAGGGATATAAAAAAGGATAGTGCTAGTTTACAATCAACTGTGTGTGGAAGGTCTAAAAGTAGGGGTGACGTTATGCATGAACTTTTCGCGCCACAGAGTAGCGGTTCATCAGACCATGGCCGCTAGGATGACATTTTCTCATAGTGCCCCATCCTTTGTGCTTGCTGTGTGCTGCGTGTGTTTGTTGAACAGGGTTTCCTCGAGATGGAAGAGCAGTCCTTGAAGACGTTATCTACTCCCGGTTGCCGCTCACTATCATCGTCGCCCGTTTGTCGTCGCACAATTTACAGGTATCCGTCAAGGACATCGTCGCACTCATGGATGGATCCGGGGAGCTCAACGATGAGGTCGTCAATTTCTACATGGCGATGCTACTGGACGATTGCGGCAGGACTACGGCTACCAAGAAGACGTACACCTTTAACTCTTTCTTCGCCTCTACACTGCTTTTGCGAGGTCCGACAACTATTAGCAGATGGGCTAAAGATGTCGACCTCCTGTCTCATGACCTCGTCTTGGCACCAGTGCACAAGGACGGCGAACACTGGAGCCTTTTAGTCATTGACTTCTCTAGACGTGTTTTGGAAATCTATGATTCTTTCTCGTGTTCGTCATCCAAAGATTCCTTTTACTCCGCACTTTTAGATAAAACTGTTAAATTTTTGAACACGGTGGCAGGAGCCACCGGTGATGGTCTCACTTTCGATCACTTCGCTCGCGAGGTCAGCGTGAAAGGTGTCCCTCGGCAGCACGACGGGGCTAGTTGTGGGGTGTTCATGTTGATGTTCGCTTCCTGTTTGGCGAGAGSYTTACGTCCACCTTTTGGTTTCTCCCATAGACACATCTCCTCTATCAGAGCTAGACTAGCTTTGGCGATTTGCGATGTTGGTAGGTAAGCATCTATCTGTTTGCTGATCATGTAGTGTAGAAGGGTTGACGTAGAAGAACATTTCGTTTTTCTCCAGACAAAATTTGTTCCTTTTTATTTATTTCGTGAGAGACTGGTGGGTGTTCTCGGTTTGGTTCAGAGCAGAACTGGCTGTCACTGCCAGGATATCTCCGAGTGAAATTGTCATGTCCCCGGCGTGTTTGTCGTCGACAATATTGTTCTTTTTCATTGGCTTTCAATTATCACAAACGTCCCTGTTGTTGGGGCGCCTGTTTTGTGATTGGCTTTCTCGCTTTCGTCATGTTGTGTCTTGTATGGTGTGATGCTCTGCTTGCATACTCGGATGCATCCGGACTCGAACTAACTCTATGCTTTTCTGCCTCTCTCTCGAACCTTCCCCGTCGTCTACGCTCATCTATGCATTTTCACTTCGAATGTTGTAAGGCATCACAGAGAAGAAAATATAACACACGGGCCTCTTTATACATTTGATGGCCCGTCTGGTCCTCCGCGCTGGGTGCTTTTTGATTTCGACATTGAATGCTGTCAAATCTTTGACCCGTCAAAGCTTCCCGTCTGCACGCTCAGTCATACATTCGGTTCCTATGCATTACCCAATACAATGAAAAATTGGAATGTGCCGACGGAGGGAAAACCCTAAAGGCAACGTTGATGGCTACTCCAATGTGACGAGATTTGAATTGAGGTAGCGCGGCTGAAAATACAATTGCATGTGTGGACAAAATTGGATATGGTGACGAAAGGTTAAAACACAAGGCGAAGCCGATTGGTGCTACAAAGTGACACAAACTGAATTGAGTTGACACTCGAGAAGAAATGAACATTGTATGATTGGTCCTCAATTTCCGAAAAAGGATTTCAAGATTCAACTCTCTCTCTCTTTCTCTCTCTCTCTCTCGCGCGCTCGCGCATGCGTGCGCGCGCGCATGCGCACACACCTGCCCACAATTGTGTCTAGTGCGCTCATTTGCTGTTTGCTTCGGACTCCCCCTCCCCTGTCATCTCGGATACATCCGAACTTGGCTTACTCTCGCCTAACGAAAACCTTGCAGCTCTTGTACAGCTACACTTGTGGTTTTCGCGTGTTCCTTGAACATGCGTCTCCTGTGCGACATGTCGGCATGAAAAGAAAATTTAGTGCGATTATTCACACTCTCTCTGTCTCTCTCTGTGTCTCTGTCTATATCCCTGTCTCTGTCTCTGTCTCCCTCTCTCTCTCTATCTCTCTGTGTCTCCCCCTGAGCATCTTTGACCATGAAGAGTGATTCCTTCCCCTTGGTCCATCGCATTGGGACTGCAACCAGCCCAAGCCAAGGACAACATCGAAGGGGCACTTGTCAAGGACAAAGAAGTTCAATGCGTGGGTGACAGTCTTGCCTCTGTCAAAGGTGGTGCGCACACCTTTGACTGCATGCACAGAAAAAAGAACTTCCTTGTTGCCAACTTGGGTCCGACAAGGGTTCTGCAGGGCCACTTGCTTCATCCCCAAGGCCACCTTGCGTATCCCATGTGGTGACATGAAGGTAGCTGTAGCACCACAGTCAACCAACACATGGAGATAGCGGTGGTTTATGACAAGTTTAAAGAAGATCAACTTCACTGTCCCTTGGGCATGCTGCTGTTTCATCTCAGCCCAATGCTCCAAGTGGTAGTGGAAGTCAACCATCTCAGACTCCTTCCAAGGCTCGACATACAAGACATTACTTACCTCAGCCTTGTCTTTAGCAGATGGTTGGGCTTCAAGGGAGGGCTGCTGATTTTCAACAGAACCGGACCCCCCTGCTGTAGAGTTTGCTGAAACTGACTCTACGCCCGATTCTGGTTTCCCTGCAGCCTATAACAGTCCTGAACCTTACGATTTGGTTTTTGGCAATGCAGGCAAACCCCTTGCTTGAATCTGCCCCACCATTTCATTTTCAGTGATCCGGAGGTCAACCCACGGTTTGGTAGTCTCGTCCCCCGGTTCAGGGGGGATCTTGACTCCTTTGGAAAGTTGGACATAACTTTTCCCGACACTCCAATTCGGTCCCTTGGTGCTGGCAATCTTTTTAAAGGCAGAAAAATTTTCTTCTTCTTTATTTGCATCGGACTCATGGGCTGAAGAACAAGCTGGATCAGACTCCTGTTCTTGGTCGTCACCAAGAGTGGGGTCATCTGCATCGGCTTCTTCTTCGGCCTCCAGCAGGTCATGCAGAGCAAAATGGCTGCTGCCCTTGAACCGTCTGCCGTCCATGGGCTTTTTCCTGCCTGCCTTGCTAACGAGGTCTTTGGCCTTCAAACTGACTACGGCCTTCATTAAGGTGAGTCAGTCAGTGTATGCAATGTAGTCCCCGCCCAGGCGATTAGTGAAGTTAGTTGGAACAGCGCCCTTAATCACATCTAAGCAAGATTGAGCAGTCAATTCCAAACCAGGAGTAACAAACGTCTTGCTTAGATAGGTCTGCAGGCTTTTCATGGAGCCCGTCCACTTGTTGCGCTTGACTTTGTCAAGTTGGATTCTTGCCCTAGCCACAACATGTGGATCCTGAT